ATCATGAACTTTTAACTGGGTGGGATTCTGATGTCATTTCCAGTATCGGGATTAACACAGATGTGCTAAGATGTCTGCTTTATTAAATTGGAATTTTAAGGATTGTTTTGCCTTTGATTCTGATTTAATTCTACATGATACTTGGAACGCTGACACATGAATGATTAAATATACATTCTCTTTATTATAAATTTAGCCTTCCAGTATTTGAGGGGCTGCCCCAAAGAACTGTGGGGGGGGGGGGGTTGTCAACTTGTACTCCAAAGTCCCTGAAGGCAGGACAAGAAGGAATGGGTGGAAACGAATCAAGGAGAGAAGCAACCTGGAATTAAGGGAAAACTTCCCAACAGTGAGGACAATTAACCACTGGAACAGCTTGCCACCAGAAGCTGTGAGCACTCCAACCCTGGAGGTTTTTAAGAAGAGACTGGACAGCCCTTTGTCTGAAACAGTAGAGGGTCTCCTGCTTGAGGAAGGGGTTGGACTAGAAGACCTCCAAGGTCCCTCCCGAGTCCCAAATCTGTTATTCTGCTAAAATCAAAATAAGCTCTGATGAATTACTATTGTGCTTTGAAAATAAGAACAATAATTCAAATAAGTTTGTGGCCTTCAAATGGACCAATGTTTCCAGAGAAAAGTACAGGTAAGCCTTGAGTTACGACCATAATTGGGAGCAGGATTTCTGCTGCTAAGGAAGACCGTTGTTAAATGAATCAGGCTGTCACTAATGAATCAGAGAAAAGTAAAGATGGCTGCAGCGCGCCAGCTCCGTTTCAAAGTTGACCCATGCCTGGTTCTTAAGTGAATCACTGCAGTTAAGTGAATAGCAGGTAGCCCTCAACTTACGACCATTCGTTTAGTGATGAAGGTTACCACGGCACTGAACAAAGTAACTTACGACCATTTTTTTACATTTACAACCATTGCCAAATCCCCATGGCCATGGGATCAAACTTGGCAACTGACTCATACTTATGATGGTTGCAGTGATGTGGGGGTGCGATCGCCATGGGAAAGCCAGATTCAATTAATGACCGCGTTACCAATTTAACAACTGCAGTGATTCGCTTAGCAACTGTGGAAGGTAATAAAACAGAGCAAAACTATTTTTGGATGGAAGTTGTGGTCATATGTTGAGGACTAGCTGTACATGGTCATTAAACGAATCCAGCTTCCTCCATTTTATTTGCTTGTAGGAACTTGGCTGGGAAGGTCCCTGGGATGATGGAACAACTGGGGCAGGAAAGGTCGTAAAACTGTGTTTCACACTTACGGCCTGTGGTCACGTGGTTGAAATTCAGTCAAAACTGGTTCATATTTATGACGTCTGCAGTATGACAAGCAAAGTCAACAGGGGAACCAAGATTCGCTTAACAGCCAGGGGACTAACTTAACAACCGCAACGATTCATTTAACAACGGTGACAAGGAAGGTCGTGAAATGAGGCGAGACTCGGTTAACAACTGTCTCGCTTGGCAATGGAAGGGTTGGGCTCCATTGTGGTCGTAGGTCGAGGACTACCTGTAAGGGGGGGGAAGAAACCCCAGGAGGTTTAAGAAGGCGTGGCCTCACCGTTCCTTCTTTCTTGGTAGGTCGGTAGTAGGCCGCGACGGTGAGGATGAGGATATGCACCGTGTAGATGAAGAAGTTGAAGTAGAAGAGATGTTTCACAAACCGGTCCCACTTATCCTGCAGGAGCTGGTTGAGGGGTTCCACCAGGAGCATTTCGTGGCGATTCTAGGAAGAGAAGACACCCCCCGCTCCCCGAGGGTTTATTTTATATTGATTTATCTGTTTATTTGCATCCCACTTTTACTCTTTTTAGAAATAACTGAAGGAGGTGAACATACCCCATACACTTTTCTCTTCCTTGTTGCCCCATCACAACAACCCTATGAGGTAGGCTAGGCTGAGAGTGAGTGACTAAATCAATCTTAATCTAACCCTAATCCTAACCCTTAATCTAAATCAATCTCAATGTCAATTCAAAATCTAACATCTGACGTCTCAATCTCAATCTAGAATCTCAGTCTAACCCTAACCCTAAATCTAAATCAATTTCAATCTCAATCTAACATCTAACATCTAACATCTCAATCTAAACCTAAACCTAAACCTAAAATCATTTTTAAAAATGTATATTTTAAAAGCTAAAATCTAACACCTCAATCTCAATCTAAGATCTCAATCTAACATCATTTAACATCTAACATCTCAATCTAAACCTAAAACTAAAATTATTTTTAAAAAATTATATTTTAAAATCTAACATCTCAATCTAAAATCTCAATCTAAAATCTAGCATCTAACATCTCAATCTAAAATCTCAATCTAAAATCTCAATGTAAACCTAAACCTAAATCTAAAATTATTTTTAAAATTTTACATTTCAAAATCTAACATCTCAATCTCAATCTAAAATCTCAATCTCAATCTAACCCTAACCCTAAATCTAAATCAATCTCAATCTCTACCTAAAATCTAAAATCTAACATCTCAATCTCAATCTAAAATTTCAATCTAACCCTAACTCTAACTCTAACCCTAACCTTAACCCTAACCCCAAATCTAAATCTACATCTACATCTAAATCAATCGCTATCTAAAATCTAACATCTCAATCTCAAATCTAACCCTAACCCTAATCCTAACCCTAACCCCAAATCTACATCTACATCTACATCTAAATCAATCTCTATCTAAAATCTAACATCTAACATCTCAATCTCAATCTAAAATCTCAATCTAATCCTAACTCTAACTCTAACCCTAACCTTAACCCTAACCCTAACCCTAACCCCAAATCTACATCTACATCTACATCTAAATCTAAATCAATCTCTATCTAAAATCTAACATCTAACATCTCAATCTCAAATCTCAATCTACCCCTAACCCTAACCCTAACCCCAAATCTAAATCTAAATCTAAATCTACTACATCTAAATCTAAATCTAAATCAATCTCTATCTAAAATCTAACATCTCAATCTAAAATCTCAATCTAACCCTAACTCTAACCCTAACCCTAACCTTAACCCTAACCCCAAATCTANATATGCTGACTCTCTGTAAACCGCTTAGAGAGGCCTGAAAGGCCTATGAAGCGGTATATAAGTCTACTGCTATTGCTATTGCTATTGCTATAATATCTAAAATCTAACATCTAACATCTCAATCTCAAATCTCAATCTAACCCTAACCCTAACCCCAAATCTACATCTACATCTAAATCAATCTCTATCTAAAATCTAACATCTAACATCTCAATCTAACCCTAACCCTAACCCTAACCCCAAATCTAAATCTAAATCTAAATCAATCTCTATCTAAAATCTAACATCTAACATCTCAATCTGAATCTCAAATCTCAATCTAAACCTACTGGTAAATCTAAAATTATTTTTAAATCTAACATCTCAATCTTAATCTAAACCTAAACCTAAATCTAAAATCATCTAAAATCCACAATCTAAAATCTCTAAATCGCAGTCCTAGCGCCTGGGGAGCAATGCGCAGTGGAGGAAACCCCCTCCTCTCCAACCCACCGGGGTCTCACTGCTGTAAGCGATGATCTCCAAGACAGAGTTCTTCTCACAGGTGTCGATGCTGGAGAGGTCGTAAAGTGAGGAGTGGACGGGTCCGTAGGCCCACTCGGTGAATTTCCGAGAGAGGTGACGGCATTCTGGCTCCTTCATCTCCCGCCGAAGGATATAGGCGAAGACCTGGGGCCGAATGGAAGATGGGCAGAATGCTGGAGCATTTTATTTATTGATTTATTAAATCTACAGGTTCAAAGTTCAAAGGGCACTGAAAAAAAGTGACCTATGGCTGTTTTTCCACACTTACGACCATTGCGGCATTCCCCGTGGTCATGTGATCAAAGTTCAGAGGCTTGGCAACTGGCATGTACTTATGACAGTTGCAGTGTCCTGGGGTCACATGACCTCCTTCTGCAAACTTCTGACCAGCAAAATCCGTGGGGAAGCCAGATTCACTTAATAACCGTGTTAGTAACTGAACAACTGCAGTGTTTTACTTAACAACTGTCGCAAAATGGAGGGGAAACTTAACAAATGTCTCACTTAGCAACCAAAAGCGAATTGTGGTCATAAGTCGAGACCACCTGTATAGATAGTTCTACTGGGCAAAAACACCCCTTGTATAAAATGGATTCGTTTAACAACCAGCACATTCTTTTGATCAACAATCCAGTGTTTGTTTAACGTCTTTGGCACTTGCTTAATGACTGCTGCAAAAAAACCCTCATAAAATCAAGCACGGTCACGCCACGACCCATTGAATGACTGCCACAACCTACAAATAATTCTCACTGCAGTTGTAAGTTAAGGACAATTTCAGAAAAGAGGATTGCTACATTTCTAGGATTTTATGCTTTCGTTCGGATCGCAGCACTGGCCACGGGGGTGGACTAGATGTTCTCCCAAACTCCTTCCTGTCATTCTAGGATTTTATGCTTTTATTTGGATTTGAGGCCGCGGTAGCGGGCTGGACTAAATGATCTCCCCAACCCCTTCCATCTCTGTCATTCTTACCTTGCTCAATCTGCACTTATCACCAGAGTTGAGCCCAGAATTTCTGTTGCTAAGAGAGCTTTGTCCCATTTGATGGCCTTTCTAACCACTGTTGTTGTTAAGTGAATCAGTGAGGTTGTTAAGTTAGCAACACCGTTGTTAAGCGACTCACGCTTCCCCATTGACTTTGGTCACAAAAGGGGATTGCGTGACCCCCTAGAACGCTGCGACTGTTGTAAACATGAGTCGGAAGGGGCTGAATTTTGTTCCCGCGACCATGGGGAACGCGGCAACGGTCGTAAGTGACCGTAATTCGCTTGTCAGGCCTGCAGCCATCTTTCCTTTTGGCTCTTTGGCCTGCCACACTTTCTATTATTCTACTCTGCATTTTCTATGGTGGGAAAATGGGAGCTGGGGATTGTATGGGGTTAGATGATAGGTAGCCATAACAACATTCTTTCTCGAAAACCAAGGTCATCCTTTGTCTTTGCACCTCTGCACCTGACCGGAACTGGATGGGTGGAACTGCCAGCATGGCAGTAGGAGATTTAATTTTGGATGCTATTTGGAATCCTGGCATCGCTTTTTTCAGTGCCATGGCAACTTCAAAACGGTCGCTAAGTGAATAGGCCATAAGTCGAAGACTACCTGTATTTTCCCCGTCTTGGCGGCCAGGGTGAGCGGGGTCAGCCCTCTGCGGTTGGCAACTTCCTCCAGACGGAGGGTGGGGTTGATACTCGCCCCCAGGATGAGCACGTCGTTGTACATCTTGGTGACAAATTTGGTGTTGTCGTCAGTGTCGTCGGCGATCTCCACCAGGGCGTGGAGGACGGTGTTGCCCATCGAGTCCTGCTCGGCGATGTTGGCCGGCTGGTAAGGATTCTCCAGCAGGAACTTGACGATGTTCAGCTGGTTGGTGCAGGCGGCGAGAGAGAGGGGCAGCTCTCCTGCAGGCCGAAATCCAACAGGGAGAGAGGCGCGTGAAACGACGGAGGCCCTCTGGCTCGGTTGGAACAGAACGAACATCCCCCAGGTAGTTCCTCAACATACGACCACGACGGAGCCCCAGATTTTACGTTGTCAAGAGTCAGACATTGGTTAAGCGGGGCTCGTCCTATTTTATGACCTTTCTCGCCCCGGTTGTTAAGTGAATCTGTGCAGTTGATAATTGGTTGTTAAATGAATTTGGTTTCCCTCGTTCACTTGCCTTTTCGGAAGGTTGCAGAAGGGTATTGCGTGACCCCGTGACCGTTGTAAATGTGAGCCAGTTGCCAAGAGTCTCAATTTTGATTATATAATCATGCTACAAAGGTCACAAGTGTGAAACATGGTCATAAGTCGCTTTTTGCCGCTGTAGCTTTGAACCGTCACTGAATGAACTGTTGGAAGTCGAGGATTACCTGTATTTATTCTTTATTTAGTTATAAAATTTATGGGATGCCTCTGTCGCTGAAGGCGACTTTAAGGACCCCCCTCCCCCCCAAAAAAAACGAACGAAGAGGAGCCAATGACAAGTAGTTCTCGACTTACAACAGTTCATTTACTGACCGTTCGAAGTTACAATAGCAACTGATAAAATCTACAGGTTCAACGTTCAAAGTTTGAAATCCATGCTGGAGCTTGGATTTTATTTATTTATTTATTTATTTATTTATTTATTTATTTATTCATTCATTCATTCATTCATTCATTCATTCATTCATTCATTCAGTTAGAACAATGCAAAAGATTACAGGTCCAAAGTTTGAAATCCATGCTGGAGCTTGGATTCTATCTATCTATCTATCTATCTATCTATCTATCTATCTATCTATCTATCTATCTATCTATCTATCTATCTATCTATCTATCTATCTATCTATC